TCCTGTAATCCTAGCACTTCGGAGGCTAAGGCTGGAGAATGGTTTGGGCTACAAAGTGAGCCCAAGCCCAACACGAAGTGCATAGCAAAACCCTGTATCAAAAAGACAAAACAAAACAAAGATTCACTTTGGGAAGTGTTAAGAATTTTTTTTTTTTTTTGTACCAGGGATCAAACTCACGACCTCATACTTGCAAGGCAAGCACTTGTGCCACTGAGCTAAATCCCCAGGCCTCAAGTATGAAGATTTTAACAGGGTTAGTTTATCCTATATATGAACTTGAGATGTCTTTCCATTTGTGTGTCCTTAATTAATTTCCTTTATCACTGCTTTGTAGTTTTAATCATGGAGATCTTTCACTTCTTTAGTTATATTTATTTTTAGTCATTTTAATTAATTAATTAATTTTGTCTTTTTTAGTTCAGGCTGGCCTTGAGCTCACTTCATAGCCCAGGTTGGTCTTGAACTGACAATGATTCTCCTGCCTCAGCCTCCCAATTGCTATGATTACAGATGTGAGTCACCAAACCTGGCCATTTTAATTTTTTGATAGTTACTGTAAATACAATTTCTTTCATTCTCAGCAATTTTGTTATCAATGTATAAAAAGTCTATTGATTTTTATATGTTGATTTTGTAGCCTATGACCTTTGTGAATTCATCTAATAGTTATTTGAAGTCTTTAGGGCTTTCTTGTAGAAAACCATGTTGTCTACAAACAGGAATAATTTGACTTCTTCCTGTCCTACTTGTATATCTTGATATTTTTTCTCTTGTCTTATTACTGTGGTTAAAACTTCTAGTACTACACTGAAGAAGTGCGGAGGTAGAAAATGTTTTCTTGAGCCTAATCTTAAAGGTAATAATTTCAAATTTTTCCCATTCAATATGATGTGGGCTGTAGGGTTTATCATATAACCCTTATGTTGTTGAAATACCTTCTTTTTATACCTTATTTTTTGAGGATTTTTTTATCATGAAGAATGTTATTTTATCTAATGCCTTTTCTGCATCTATTGAGATTTTTATTCTTCATTTTGCTGATGCTATGTTACTTTTACTGGTTTGCACATGTTGTACCATTCTTGCATCCCTGAGGTAAATCCCACTGGATCAGGATGTATAATCTTTTTCATGTGCTGCTGGATTCAGTTTTCTAGCATTTTTTTGAGAAATTTTGCATTTGTGTTCAACAGTAATATGGGTCTATAGCAGGGGTGGTGAACCTATGGCATGCATACACAGTGGGATGTTTGTATCATTGAAAACTCTAAAAGATTCACCATCACCAGTCTATAGTTATTTTCTTCTATGGTATATTTGTGCAGTTTTGGTATGAGGGTAATGCTGGTATAACAGAACACGTTTGAAAAGCTTTCTTCCTTTTTTGATATCTTTGAGTAAGTGAAGTAGAATTGATGCTGATGTCTGTTATTCTTCCTTACTTCTCAACCCAGCAATGACTCAGTTCACAAATGCTTCTGTTTGTGAATAATTCGATTTGCAAATAGAAGCATTTGGCAAAATTTTGCTTCTACTTGTGAACTCTGCATCAAGTGATGAACTCAAGCACTGCTATCTTGTCCAGAATTATGGAGCAAATTAAGTTCATGAATGAAGGAAGGTACCATGGTACTTCTAGAATGAGAATTTTCTCATACAGTACAGTATAGTTTTCAACTCCAAAATTCAATACTAATTCAGTGTGCTTATATAATCTACAATTCATATCCATTTTATCAATTATTTCAATAACATCCTTTATGAAATTTGTCTTGGCAGTACCAGATCCAGTCCAGAATCACATTCCTTTTAGTCTTTATAACTAGGGACAGTTTCCCAAATTTACTTCCTCTTTTGTGATATTGGCATCTTTTTGAGAACACCAGTCAGTTACTTTATGAACATTAAATTGCTCCTTAACTTGCTTTTTTCCTGTGATCACATCCATTCACCATGTCAGTGCTCTCTAGTGATTTTAGCTTGATCATACAGTTAAGATGATGTCTGTTTTTGCCTCGCAGTGTTATTATTGTCCATGCAATTCATAAGCACTTTGAAACCATGCAAGTATTCTTTCCTTTATCAAAAGTTACCTTCTACCTACAGAAATTATTCTTGTCTATGCTACTTTTTATGAAACTACAGTAAACTGATGATCTTCCAGTTCCACCACTCTATCCTTCCCTTGTGTAAGGGAGAAGCCTCTCCCTTTTCCTTTATTTGTTCAATGTAAATATAGATTTCTATTTTATTCAGCACATTATAATTCCATTACCATCATTATTCTGAATCCCAAATTTAACCAGGTACCCTTCAAGACTGTTTCTCTTGCTGGGAATGGTGGCACGTGCTTGTAATCCCAGCACATGGAAAGCGAGGCAAAAGAGTCCCCAAGAGTTTAAGACCAGCCTGCACTACAGTGAGACACTGTCTCAAAAAAAAAAAAGCTTGCCTCTCTGTCTTTTTGATATATTTGCACCATTTTTTAGTCCTTTCTCCCTCTTTCCTTCTGTCCTTCCTGATATACAACATGATTTTTAATATTTGAAAGAATATCATATTAATATCTATGTATCATGATGCATTTATTTTCTTACTGTTAGAATTTTGTATTTTATTTTACTTTATTTTGTTTTTATTTTTTGAGACAAGGTTTCACTATGCAGTTCAGGATGGTCTTGCACTCACTTTGTAGTCCAGGCAATCCTTCTGCCTCAGCCTCCCAAATGCTGGGATGTGCTACAATGCCTGGTTGTTAAAATTTTAAATTGTAAGCTTAAAACTACTTGAAAGTTTTTAAATGGCATTATGTATTTCCGGAAATGTATTTATTAATTTCTCTCCCCAAATTTTCCACATAGTTAAAAGTAGCAGTGTATAAGAATGCCTATAGTGTCATTCTCTTCAGGCTCTATCTACTCTGTGGTTCTCAGGTTAGCAATAGCAGTATTACTGGGGAGTCTGTTGGAAATACAAAATCTCAGCTCCTATCCCAAACCTACTGAATCAGAATCTGCACTTTAGGAAGTTCTCTGACTAACTCAAAGGCACATAAAAGTCTAAGAATCAATATCCTAATGTAATTCATATGGAAGTCACAAAAGAAATTGTTCCTGTGAGATCAAAAAGAAACACTTAAGGACACCTAAGATTAGGAGGCAGATTTACTTAACATCAGACTGGTGCTGACTAGGAATCAACTGTTCTTCAAAATGTCAGGCCCTGAAGGCTCAGGGAGGGAGGTTTTTATGGGGTCAGCAAGGGGAAATACAAAGGAGAGGACTTGGCTGTCTTTGATTGGTTCTTACAACATGCATCACAGTGCCCAGCTGTTTCTAGGAGACAGAAGCCACTGGAACTGCAACAGGAACTATTACCTGGGCAACTAAAAACTGAAGTATACTGGATAGGGGGCCATTTTCCGTTACAGTCCTAAATCGAGGCAAGGTAAGTTTAAGAAGCCACACTGGCACTGATAGTAAAAAGTGAAAAGGACAAAGAACCAAAATTGGTTTTGAGAAAAGCGCTTCCATATTTGAAAGTATGAATGTAGCCTAAATAAGGCTCTCTAGGAGATAGACCAATGTACACGAACACAGACTATTCACACCATTTCCCCCAGAACACAAGAGATTTTGTTATTCTCTCCAGCATTAGACTTCTCCCACTCTATCCCAAACACACTCTATGCACTAGCCAATTGTTATCTAGTGGCCTAAGGAAAACTTGAATTCTAGTCCTTGCAGGTTGTTTCCGTGCATACTCCCAAACCCCATTCCATACTGTTTCTGTAGGAGCTGATAATATGCCCAAAGAATCAGCCTTCAAACAGGAACACCAGCAGGGGATTTAGCTCAGTGGCTTAAGCACCTGCCTGGAAAGAGCGAGGTTGTGAATTTGATCACTGGTACCAAAAAAAAAAAAACCAAAAAAACAAACAAACAAAAAAAACCCCCAAAAACCAGAAACACAAAATGATTCTGGTACCCTGAAATCTGAAAATTATTATACCACTACACTTCCTGGTTCACATCTGGAATATATTGCTTAAGCAGAATTTTAATTGCTTTAGAAAAATATTCCTATTTTTACTAAAAGCCTTCAGCCATAATTGTTGTTAGTTAATAAGTTGAACAAGTGACTGATAGATGATAAACCTGCTTGAAACATATTTCATACCTTCATTCCCTTTTGGGCTACACTTTTTAAACCAATCCTAATTCCTTTCAAATGATTAATCAATACTTTTCTACTCTTTTTTTCTTTCTTTCTTTCTTTCTTTTTTTTTTTTTTTTTTTTTTTTTTTTTGGTCTTTTTGAGACAGGGTTTCTCTATGCAGTTCAGGCTGGCCTTGAGCTCACTTTGTAGCCTAGGCTGGTCTCGAATTTGCAAGGATCCTCCTGCTTCAGCTGCCTGAGTGCTGGGATTACAGGCAGGATTACAGGTGTGAGCCACCACACCCGGCTCAAAGAACGTCTTCTTTTTGGTACTGGGGATCGAACTCACGACCCCGCACTTGCTAGGCAGGCGCTTATGCCACTAAGCTAAATCCCAGGCCCTTATTCTTTCAATATAGTTTGGTGAAAAAATTTACACTGTGGCCCAGCATAGTGGCACACATCTGTAATCTCAGCATTCAGGTGGCTGAGGCAGGAGGATCAGTTTGAACTAGAGGCCAGCCTCTCCTACATAGTGAGTTCAAGACCATCTAGGACTACACAGCGATACCTTGTCTCAAAAAACAATTTTTTAAAAAAATTCATATTGTGTTCGGGGATTTAGCTCAGCAGCATAAGCACCTGCCTGGCAGTTGCGAGGTCATGAGTTCAACCCCTGGTTTAAAAAAGAAAAAGAATTTCATATTGTGGAAAAAACTCTCCAGTGAAAATATGTAATGTCAAAACTTACTAATCATATGAATGCATAGATCAAATATATTACATAAATTGCATAAATACTATTTCATTTTAAAAATACAAATAACTTTTTTTATGTAGGAAGAGCAAAGAAAAAAGGAAGAAGCAAGTATAAAAGGTACTTTTTCTCAATAATCTGTTAGAACAAGTCCTAATCACCATAGAGCAATTCATATTTTAAAGTGGCAAAAGCCTATTCTAAATGTTTTTAAGTATTTTAAATGCCATGAAAATTTAAGGGATATGTTAATTCACTATGTGAGAGGGCACATAACTTCCCAAAAAAACCCAGAATTTTCAATTTCATATCCTAAAATTTGAAACATGCTCTTTCCTATTTGAACCCAAAACTGTCATGCATGATGCTGGAGGGTAAAAATGAAGTTTTGGGCCTTTCAGGGGCAGGGGTAGAGGGTAGAACAAGAATGAAACGATAACAAAAAAATGAGATTTTTGTGTTACACTTTATATATTGTATGCTTTATCTTAGTATTGCAAAGAATCGCTTCCTACCTACGTTGTTTTAGAAATGGTGAATGGCATGCCTGTAATCCTGGCAGTCCGGAGGCTGAGGCAGGAGGATTTCCATGTGTTCCAGGCTAGTCTGAGCTATATAATAAGTTCAAGGCCAGCCTGACCTGCAAAGCAAAGCCTTGTCTAAAAAAAAAAAAAGAAAAAAATTGCCAAATTTTATATAAAATATGACAACTTTAAAATTAATGGGCAAAATATGAAAAATAACAGTCAAAATATTATAAAATATATTTTTATATAATGTGGTATTTTCTAAAATTATCACTTTTTAATATCCAATGTGTAGCCTAAACAACATGAGAAATACATGAGACCTAAGAATAATGAATATAAATTGAAATCCAATTTGCATCTGATTTGTGATAGTTCATTTCACTAACTCTCAGTTTCATCCTTTATAAAGTAGTACTAATAACTATCTAAAAGAATTATCAAGAAGATCCAGGTGTGGTGGCACATTCCTGTGATCTCAACACTCAGGAGCCTGAGGCAGGAGGATAACTTGGCATTCAAGGCCAGCCTGAACCACAAAGCAAGACCCTGTCAACACACACACACACACACACACACACACACACACACACACACACAATTATCAAGAAGATAAACATACAAGTGCATAAAAATGCCTTGCTTCTGTGTTGTTACTATCAATATAGGGTCAACTCAAAGACCCTTCCCACTGTAGACCATTTTATAATCTACCAGCTGAGGGAACCTTGTAGTATTTTTAAAACTGGTTTTATTAAATAAGGCAACATTTAGCCATAATCACTAAGAAATTATTTTAAGGAACACTAGAACTCAGATTTCCAGCCTAATTAAACTGTTCTTATATTAAAACAGGCTGATCTTATTTTCTTATTTAGAATGTACTTTCCTACTTTTTTTTTTAAATGTAGGCTCTCACTATGCAGTTCAGGTTGGTCTTAAACTCACTATGTAATATTTATGGTAAATCTATTTTTCACAGAGATTAAATATCATCCTGAAGATGAATTCTTCCCTGCAGCAGAAACACTCATCTGTGACCCCCAAGAGATTAGTTCAGCAACAAATAGCAGCAGTGTCACATTAAACTTTTCAGTATCACCGTCAGATTCTCCGTACAGCCTAAGTATACAAGCAGCTGATGAATGGTTTTCGGATGATTCTCTAGAAGAAAATAATCCTCCACAGCCTTTTCTTAGGGAAACCGTAGTGGACAAAGTATTTTCATACCTGTCAACCATTTCATCAGAAGAAGGTACTTAAAATATGATGAACGTGACAATGCATGATGATCAAAATGATGGCAGAATCAAGGAAATGCTTTCATAAAGAAACACGGAAGTTGAAATACAAAACCTTCAACATAACAGTGAATGACTTTTTTTCTTTTGAAGTCTTGTATGCCCTGAAATCAGGTAAAGTTAAAACTGAATTATCAGCTTCTGAGTCTCCTAACATATTCATGCTAATGTTGTTTTTCTTGTGCTTTATTATAGAGTAGTCCTGCTTCCCTTGCTGACTCTTATTTCTAAAAATAAACTATTAGGAAGAACTGTAGGGGATGTGGCTCAGTGGTAGAGCTCTAGCACCCCAGCACCACAAAGGAAAAAAACTACAGTAGTATCATGAATATTAACCTTAACTCCTTGTACCTCATCAAAAGATAAAATAAATAATAAGATTGTATTTTCAACATGCAAGAGAATTACTTTAAGAAATCTTCACAAGGCCAGTTGTGGTGGTCTGTAATTCCCATGCTCAGGAGGCCGAGGCAGGAAGATCAGTACAAGTTCGAGGCCAGCCTGGGCTACAAAGCGAGTTTAAGGCCAGCCTGAACTGCACAGTGAAACCTTGTCTCAAAAAGACAAAACAAATAAAATAAATATTTAAAAAGAAATCTTCACAAATATATTTTAATAAAAATCCACAGTATTTTTGTTATAGTTTGCATATATCAATTTTATTTCCACGTGAGTAGGTATGGGTGAAATATCTCTATGAGCTTTTCTGAATTTACAAAACACAAATCACCTATCTTTCAAATCTTATCATGCCATGATTGGGGGCTGGGGATTTAGCTCAGCAGCATAAGCGCCTGCCTTGCAAGTGTGGGGTCATGAGTTTGATCCCCGGTACCGATAAAAAAGAAAAAGACAAAAAACAAAAAAAGGCAATTATCATGCCATGACTTTGAAAAGCAAGATAAACTTGCTCTTATAAAAGTCACTGGAACACTGGAGAACCCAGCAAGTAATTTCCTTTTGATTCTCCTTTCTCCATTTCTCCGAATGCTCCCCAATCCTCATCCTTCTGTGATAAAAATGGCTCCTAAGCACCTGACTCAAGCTAGGTGAGCTAGAGTTTCTTTCTAGTATGAGAGGTTTTTGATCAGAAGTGCATGGTTATGTGGGATTTCAGAACCAGTCATGTGATCTTTTTTCTTCTTTCCTAAATACTGTCTATGTAGTCAATCTTTTATTTTGCTTTCTCTTAGGAAAAAGATTGACTGATATTTGGTATATTACCTTTCATGCTTAAATAGCATATGACCTATTCATATGTTCACAAGGGATAAATCATATTTGTTAACAATAAGTATGAACAAAACTTCTCAAGTAAGGTAATAAATAGTATTTTCAAGATCTACAATTTCTGACCCAGAAAATAGTAAAGGAGTTGGAACACCTTTATCTCTTGATGTACTTGGGCCTGTCCACACAGTGTGTGGTAGGTCCTGAGCACCTCTCTCCCATCCACCCCTACATCTTCATAAGCTGTTTCAAAAGGAGCAGTAAAAACAAAACATTTGATTGGTCTCTGGCTCTCACCATCCTGAAACTCAGGCCTTGCTGAGGAAGGGAGTTACAGCTAAGGATGGCACAGTGCCAAGGCTTCCCCAGGAATCTGGAGTTGGAAATAAGCAATTCTAGCTTTTGTCTGACTTGTCTCTGGAATAGAAAAATACAAATTGGGGAGCTGTGGATTACCATGTCCTGCTATGCAACTTGGGGAGTAAAGGCAACAAGTCTGCAAAGAGAGAACGATGAAGCATTAGCAAGTTGAAAAGCAGAGATGAGAAATCAGGAGAATAGGATAACTTCCCTGCCTGTGGGTATCCCTGGATCCTAATTGTAAACTCTTTCTATTTTCTTAAAATCACAAGATGTGATTTCTGTTATTGGCTACCAAATTTGAGGGCTGAATTTAATTATCATGCATGGCGTTAATATAATTTTGTAATTTTAGAATAAATTCTTCTGTTCCCATAAACTAGAGTTTATTTCTTTTACTACATCCAAAGCATCCAACCAAATTCTTGTCCATAATACAAATGAGAAATGAAGATATTTATGCATATAAAGTACTTGTTATACTATAATAATATATATATATTTTTTTTTCAAAACAGTTTTTTTTTATTTTATTTAAGGAGAAAAGAAAAGAAAGAAAAAAAAACAGTGAAGGGGTACAAGTTATACAGATTTACAGAAGAAAAAAATGCGCAGTAGGAAATCACTAGTTAATGGATTACATATTGCCATCTTAGAAATAATTGTTCAAGTCACAAAATTAAAGCTTGTAGAGTGGACATTCCAACAATGATACTGCAAACAGTTCTGTTCAATGATCCAATAAAACTCTGTGATATCATTTTCTATCTTATACATTTAAATATACATGCAGTTATATAGTTTAGAGCACTTTCTTTTCCTCTCTTTTGTACAATGACTATTACACATTTTGGGTTTCATTGCTCCCACGGTTCTTATTGCTTTTTTGGAAGAGAGTAAAACCAAATGTGACATAACAGAACAGAATCGGTCAAGTCAAAAGGGTGGACATAATAGATAATATAAAAACATAATACAAGGTGATCAACAATGGTTACCATAATGCCTCCCGCTATTTCTAATAGAATTGCCTATATCATTAGTTGTTATACAATTGAACAAAACCGTAAAGAATAAAACCGACAAAACCAAAACATTGGAGATATTGTAGGTCTTCAAAAGTAGATAAAAGTCAACGAGAATGGGCGTTATAATGAATCTCATTATCTTCTCAGCTGATGCCTAAACTTTCGAACCTGATACTATCCAGCAAAACAGAATAGAGGAACCTCAGTCAAAAACAAGATGGTGAGAGTAATACAGGGCTTCAAATCGAGATAATAGAAAGTCAAAGTGGGTTACTATATTATATCCTGCTATATTTTTCCTTTAATTAAATGGATAAAAATAAAAAAGTAAATAATGGAGTGGAGATTGAGAAAAAAGAGGGCATAACAGCGAAACAGGGCAGATCAAAACATAACCATTTAAGCAGAATAGTGTTTCACCACCAGATAATCCTGACCCAAAAATAGTTACCATATTGACTCCCTCCCTGAAGTCCTTGAGTACAACTTCATATACTGTAGCATTAAGTATATCAAAACAATGTAAAACCATTTAAGAGAATGACAGCATTATAGAGTATTTAGAATCGACTAACAGAAAATGAACAATGGTCTCTGTATAATCTCCTTGTCTTTAAAAGGTTTTTGCTTATACTATCGTACATAACAAAATCCAATAAGATACAACCTGTTTAGACCATTGGAAACAGAAGAACAAAAGCTAGATGAGACTTCAAAACAAGATGGTACTAAATCAGTATTACCTATTAAGATGTCATTTTCTCCAAAAAAAGCTGTTCCTATCATCCAATCTTCTCTGTCTCATTTCTGTTGAGCTCTTTTTCTGTCAGTAGCTGTCAGTTTGTCTTCTTCATTTTGTTCTCTGCTCCATTCGTTGTGGCCTCCCCGCCACTATTTCTGGGTTCTTTGTATTTTTCTCTTTTTAGAATATCCTGCAATACTTTCTGTAGGGTTGAATTGGTGGTTGCAAATTCCCCCAGTTCCTCTTTATCCTGGAAGCACCTCGTTTTTCCATCAATTTCGAGGGACAGTTGTGCAGGATATCTCAATCTTGGCTGGAGATTATTATCTTTCAAAGCTTGAATTATTTCTCCCCATGCTCTTCGTGATTTGATGGTTTGTGAAGAGAAATCAGCTGTAATTCTGATGGGTATTCCCTTGTAAGTGATCTGTTTCTTGTCTCTTACAGCTTTTAATATTCTGTTCTTGTATTGAATTTCTGGAATTTTTATTATTATATGCCTGGGTGTTTCTCTGTTAGGGTTGTAGGTAGCTGGGGTCCTGTATGCCTCATACATCTGAGTATCTTTACCTTTTGCTAAATTAGGAAAATTCTCCTGGATTATTTCTGTGAGTAGCTTTTGTAGTTCACTTGTTTGTGTCCCTACTTCTTCTTTTATGTTCTTAATCCTTAAGTTATGGCTCCTCTTATCATCTTCTTGTCTTTGTATTATTGCTGTGTGTTTCTTTGTTATTTTTAAGAAGTTTTTCATTTCATTCTCCCATGTTTCAAGTCTGCCCTCCAATTCAGATAGTCTGTCCTTAGTTTCTTTCAAGCTGTTATGCCAGTCTTGGATAGACTTCTTAATTTCTTGATAGTCTCTTTGAACCTGCTTCACATACTCAATGCTTTCTCTGTTTTCTCCATCAAGCAATTCTCCCCTCTTTTTCTGTTCTTCCATTCCACCATCTGCTTTTTCCTGGGTGGTGCTTAGCATTTCTCTAACTATTCTGCATACTTCTAGCTTCAGGTCATTGATAACTTCATTCCTGAATTGGCCTATGAGGCTCTCTAGATGGCGCTTAATGTATATTGGTGCGGTGTCCACTATTGCCTGTTTCTCAGGATTGGGGGCCGAGGAGCCTTTTTTGTTGCTTCCCTTCCCCATATTTTCTGTTCCTTATAAAATGCAATCTTACAGAGGAGGCCCGGCTTCCCTGTCTGTCAGCCACAGCCTGATCAAATTGCGCTGGCTAGTTGTTCCCGCCCACCGCTGCACCCCAGGGAGTTGCGGAGGAGGCAGCCTACGCGGTAGTCGGTCGCTCCTCCGGGCCACCGTCAGGCTCTGGGATCTGGGTTAGGCCAGCCTAGGGAGTCCGCCAGCAGCGTCACTCAGGCCAGGCACCTTTCACCAATCCCGTCCGAGAGGGGAATGTGCGGCTGGAGTTGTCACCGCGCCCTGCTCTTACAGGACTGCCCGAGCCCAGAAAAACCTCCGCTAGAGTCAAACTGTGGTAGGGAGTCAGTTTCTCGCTCACCTTGCCACCAGTCAGTTTTCCTCCTTGTCCGTCCTGTTTCCGACTCCGTTCGCAGACTCCCGTTCCCGAGCTTCTGCGCGTCTCTCCTTGCCGAGCCGCTGTGGAGGCAGCCAGCCACCGGGCGGCAGGAAATCCAAACCGCGGTTTCCAATGGCGCGGGGTCGAGCCTCCACACCGAGATTTTTCTGT